TCTAAAGACCTTATTTAGTTGCATATTGTACTTGCTTACATTTAATAATAAAATTTCCTCATTGTTTTGTTTGTTTGTCTCTGAATGTGTCTATGCATGCCTAAAGACATATAGACAACATTTATATACAAAATAATGTTATGGGCTTAATTGTCAATTTGATCCTTAGCTTATTTAAGTTTTAAATTTGGTATTGTAGTATGATTAATGGGGGTCTTGAATTGAATATTGATTCAATGACTGTATTTCTCTGCTACAATTTCGGTTTAGAACTAAAATGAGTATTAAAATCTGATCAGACTTATCTAATACTCATCATAAATGATTACTCGGCCAAGTGGGAGAATGTTAGACACGATTTTATTATGTGGCCTGAGTTATCATTTATCTAATTAATTGATCATTGACCTAATAAATACCCTACGTACTTAATTGGTAATTATTCGATGGACGTAATTACCCTTATGACCTAATTAGGGTTTCCCCTTGGGTGTATATATAGAGGTCATTAGGCAGAGATCAGAACACACCAATCTTACGCCTCCTCTCTACCTCTCTATTCTCGTGAGTCTCATTCTCACCTTAGCCATCATAACGATACACCCTAAACGGGAACTCGATCTGCGTGAGAATCATGGCCTCATCCCTAACTACGTTTACAGGATTATCAGGTACACATGATTAAATCCCTAATTTATATTTTATGTTTAAGAATTGATCAAGATTCTATTTAAATGATAAAAAACATAGTCTATAATCAAACCATGCGAAGCATATTTTAATCTTATTCAAACAGACCGATTTAAATTTTTCCTTTAGCTTTTTAATGGCTCCCCCAGTGAAAGTCTGAAACTTTAAAACTAGAAAAAAATTAGAAGTACACTAAATTTGTATCCCAACATGGCTGTCTGTAACACACAAGTACTCTTAAATTCTTAATATATCTTTTAAAACTAATTAAGTACTCCACCAAGGAGGCATACATGGGGTAGGGGTAGACACGGTACGGTTCCGGAACGGTTCCGGTTCCGGAACCGCCGGTTCCGGTACCGCCACCCCTTGGTACCGGTACCGCCGGTTCCGGTACCGTTTCCGGTACCGTTTCGGCCACCCCTAATTTTGTTTTTTTTTTTTGCTTTTTTATTATATTTTTAAAATGTAAAATTGTAAATGTGTAATTGTTAAAGGAAATGATGAAATAAAAAAATCTAAAAATGAAATTGATAAAGGAAAGAATGAAATATATAAAAAAAAAAACGGTAACGGTACCGGAACCGGAACCGCCGGTGCCGGTACCGAAAAATGGGCACTGGAACCGGTACCGGATTGGGCGGTACCGGTACCGGTTCCCGGAACCGGTGGACCGTACCGGCCGACGGTAACGGTACCGGAACCGGCGGTACCGTTTCCGGTACCGGTACTGTACCGGTACCGTGTCCACCCCTAACATGGGGACTCCAAAAAAACAATGTATTGATTGTTGACAGCAATATTATATTTTTTTAGCAGTAATGTTTGCTACTTCCAACTACCAGCTGAGCTGCTTTCAACCTCTCTTACATGTGACATCAATTCCCCTCATCACTACCATTTACATCTTTATCCCTTTTTTTGGATGATAAAAAAATGATGAAAGAAATGGTGTGAAGAAAAAATGATGAATAAATAAATGAATATTATTTATTTATCGAGGTTTGATCATTTTAAATGATTAAATATCAAAATAAAGGTTTTTTAAATCAATTTTAGGACCTAATCTATTTCAATGACGGGCTCCTCGATATTAATTGAAGAAATCATCGTAAATAGAAGTAAAGTATAGAGAAAGTATAAAATAAGAGTTTCATATTTTTATTTTCAAAATAAGAGTTTAGAGTGTGACAATGTGACACTGCATATGGACATTTCATAATATTTTTTAGAATTGTACATTATGATGATTGACATTGTTTATGCATAACTCTTATTTTTGGAATAAAAGTATGGAACTTCTATTTTGATATTTTTTTAATGTTTTACTTCTTTAACGTTAATTGATTAAACGAGTTAATTACTGTTTTAGTCTTTTCCTTATTAATTGATTAAACGAGTTAATTAATGTCTTTTTTTTCATTCTGAAAATTGTTCCTAGACATGAGCCGTCAGTTCTTGAACTTTTCGGATTTTTTGGCGTTTGGCGTAGATTCTTGGCTTCTCGCCCTCTTCGTCACTTCCCACTTTTGTCTTTTGGATTTAATTAATTAGTGGGGGCAATTAGTATGGACTAAGGAGTGTGTTTTGGGTTAAGGGCCTCTTTGGAAATAGCGTTAGCGTTTTGAAAATGCTATCTACAGGCAGCGTTTAACGTTAGCGTTTTCAAAGTAATCTGCACCGTTAAAATTTTATCCAAAACGCTAACGCTAATCACTAACGCTGATCCCAAACAGGCTCTAAGTGCCCATATACACAAAGACAAATCTTTTCTTTTTCTTTTCTTTTTTTATTGATTGTCTCTTCATGTTTTCAACTTTATATTCACACTTATTCACATTTATGACTTTAGAATTTGGAATCCCGCTAGTAGATTCCACTCTTTCGTTCAATAAACTCTTTCTGCTTTCTTTTTTTCTTTGTCTCATATAGTTCTTCTCCTTTTTTAAAAAATCATTTCTACTCTTATTAATTCATATCCTACTTATCACATCATATTTTTTTACTTATGATCTATCAATTACATCTTACTTTTAACCATCACATCAAGATATTTTTGAAAAATCAACAAAAAAATATCTCTTCCTTAATTTAGGACTCTAAAGAAACGATGGAAGTATATTTTTGGCTTCAACCTCCCGGATTTTAGTTAAAATTATTATTGCTTCTAGACTTTTGTTATTTAAAACAATTTTGGATTATAACTAGTTTTAATATCTACTCCGTAGAACACAACCATTTATTAGAAAACTTGAATATTTCTCTCTCTCTTTTAAACAAATTATAGCCACTCAATTTTTACTGTTGAATTTTATTAAATGTCTTGGTCAAAATAAAAAAAATAAAACAGTACAAAATGAAAACGTCGGGAAATTACGGGCCCGGGTAGAGACTTTCATCTTTTATCTTTGCGGGTTGAACATTAACCGGGCTGATATGTGGGAGTGTTCATATTTCGTATTACCCAATATGTAATATATGGTGGGCCGGGTTATAACCTTAAATAAGTTTTTTTTAGAAGACTCTAGAATCTAATCTTCTTCTCCCTCTTTTCGTCTCCGTCGCCGTCCGTCCGTCGCACTCTTTTCGCAGTGACCTCTCTGCAACTTCAATGGCGTCTGCACTTCTCACCTCTGCGAAACCCTTCATTAGCACCCCTTCTCTAGCATCCAATCCCAGACCAGTTGGTATTGTCTTCGAATCCCTAAAATTAGTTTTCGACAGTTCCTTTGTGCATTATATTTGAAAAGCTGTTTTCCTTTGCTGTATGTAATTTGGATGTGATTGGACAGGTCTGAGGAGAAATTCTCTGAGAGTTAATGCCATTGCTACCAAATATGAACCCTCTAAGGTTTTGCTGTTTTTCAAACGTTTTTTTCGTGGAGTTTGTATTTATCTATATACATTTTTGGGGGAAATGATGAACTGAATGGGATTTGGTTGTTTTATGTGCTCACAGGTTGTGCCACAAGCTGATAGAGTGTTGATAAGGTTGGAGGCGTTGCCAGAGGTAATCTTTAAAGGTTTCTTTCCTTTTTTCTTCAAGTTTGATTGTGTTGTTTCATTTCTCACTATTGGTTATGCCAAATTTCTTGTTGATTATGCCAAATTTCATACTTGGTGATAGGACACATACATAGATCTATGTCGTATTTTCACTATGGTATTCGGAACATTTCTGGTGGTGCTCTTTATGCTGAGGAACACTATGGAAATAGCTATGAAATGCATCTTAAAAATCAAAGAGTTTCCAATGTGATTCATTTTACTTTTTTTCACGGTCGTTTGATTCATAGAGACTATTTAATCTATTCCCAACAAAGTAAAGAGTGTGTTGAACTCATTTAGTGTCGTATTGTATGTGTTTTCCAATAAAATGACCAATCATTTATCAGTTATTGGAGTATAAAATGAAGTTTTGTTGGTTTGTTACATAATTGTTGTTGTTTGCTGATCTGTTTTGCTTAGCATAAACCATACGCTACAAATTGATTCTTGAACTTGTTCAACTTGAGCACGTCTATGTATGAACGATAACTTGATCAATAACCTGTGGTCTATTGGACTGTTCTTTCTACCTTTGAAGCTATGTGATAAAGTTATGGGTTGAAAATGTGTTTACCGTTTGTTTACAAATGAATAAATGATTCATCAATAGGCTTCTCATGCAGAAATCTGCCGGAGGTGTTTTGCTCCCTAAATCCGCTGTGAAGTTTGAGAGGTACCTTATGGGAGAGGTGAGTAGAAGACTTATATCACAATTTTCTTCTTTATTCTTTTTTTGAAGCAGTATAGAGTTGGGTTTTACTATGAAACAATCTCTATATTCCTTGGGGTTGAGTTAAGGTCTGCCTACAAATTGTCTCCTACATCATACTCTAGAGTGGCATATGTACTGCATTCTTTTGAGGTTCGGTTTGACTTTTATGGTTGACTAAAACAAGAGGAATGATATTCCTTGGTGTAGGTTCTCTCAGTTGGAACCGATGTTCGTTCTGAAGTTGAGGCGGGGAAAAAGGTATGGTTAATAACCCACACTCCCTATGTTGCATGGATTTTTCTAATAAGTATTGCTTCCCATCCCTGTTTGGGTACTTAAAGAGCCTCCCGCACACTCAAATCCTTTTCCATCTTGAAAATCATCTTTCCATTATATTTTTTGTGTAAATTTTAAACCATTATTTTTTATGTGAAAATTTTACACCATCTTATAGTCATTGCCCCAATAAATAACACTTTTCAATTCATCAATCTCCTCTTATAATGTGTGCCATTTTCACATAGAAAGATCAATTTGGAACGAATTGAGAAATTACTAACCTTAAAGGCAGAAGAGTGATAGACTAATGTATGCATCTTTATCTAATGGGAATTACCTTGTATCTTTCAAACAGGTTCTTTTCTCTGATGTGAATGCATATGAGGTATATGTTATTTCATTAATAAAAAAAAACTCCATTTGCCATGCCAAGAAATACAAATGAAACTCACAATTGTGCCAATTGTGTATGACAGGTGAATTTGGGAACTGATGATGATGAGAAGCATGTGTTCTGCAAAGCAGGCGACCTGTTGGCAGTGGTCGAATAGGTTCTGGCACTCGCGCAACAACTCTAGCATCTTAATGAAACTTTGTGTCTTTATCTCTAAGTTTTGCATGTTTTTGGTCAAAACTTCATGTATTAAAAGAGTATTGAATATCACATTCTATGAAGCATATCTCAGTAATTTATGCCCTGCAAAGAGCGCCGTTTTTATTCGAGTTATGGCATATTATTGGCACTGCTAGTGTCTCACAGATAACAAAGACAATGGCCCTATTTGTGAGACATGGTGATCTCAACATTGATGTTAAAAAAATATTCTCCACTTTATTTTAGGTTGGTTATACGTATAACATGAATTGAATGAACCTTTGGGAGAAAAACCCAATCCCAATCAAATAAAATGTGCCTCCCCTCCCACTCCATTCCATATTTCCATGCATATTTCCTCAAACCCCAAACATGCCCTTAATATGGTAAAAGAGTAAAATATGTTAAGAGATGCATTCATTCACTCATTCATATTAAAGCAAGCCATGTGCAAGTCACTGGCAATACAAGAGATTTGTGTGCATGGAATAACACAACCCAAACTAACCTTGGGAAAAATGGGTTGTCACTAAAATACAATTGGATTTCAAAACTCGAAAACCCGCAATTCGACCATAGCCTCTTTCCTCATGCGAGAATACCACGCCACCACTTTCCCGGAATTCAGTACTCTAAGCGAGTAGTTCACACTAAGCACATAATCTTCCAATCTTGGGGAAGGTATAATGCGAAACCTAGAATCCACTCGGAACACAATTGGTCCAGCAACCTGCATTTTTAATATTAAAGGAATGAAAAGTAAATAACTTGTTGAAAATGGCTTCTTTGGAAAATATGTTCTTGAAAAAAAAGTCTTTCCAAGTAGGGTATTAACAAATAATACAGGGTATCCATTTTTCTTAAACAACTTATCGATTTCATAGGAGTAAGGTCTGCGAATCCACATTGTCTTCAAAATTTACTTTTTGTGGGAATTCACCGGGTTAATTAAAATGCAGGGTTTGAAAGAGAGATTTTTTTTACCTGCTGCTGTAAGATGAGATTAAGCCTGGGGGAAGACAACATATCCCTTGCACTATTATCATTGTTAGCACTCCTGAAAAGTTTTGAAACCCCTTTGGCTAATGTTGCTGCAGAAGGGATGTCCAAGCGAGCGTCTACTCTGCTGAGGTCGTTAAACAACTTTCTAAATTTTCCATGCTGGAAAGTGTAGGAGGCAGAGCCAAACAAGTCAGCACTGAAGGTGCTCCTTCCTAAACTAGAGTTATTTCTGCCGCCAACCCATGTAGCACAGTTTCCACCTACAATGAATGGCAAAGTTTAATCCCCCCCGGGGGAAAAAGAAGCAAAGAAATGGACATTGATGCTATATTTGGAACTGAGAAAATGGTAGGGGAATGAAATAAAGCTCAAGGTGAATCATTTCTAATGTTGGGTTTTACCAAGGAATATAGAAACTACAAAGAAAAAGCAAGTTAGATAAAACCCTTTAAGATTTTACCCACATTTAGGTTTATTATTAGTCTAAACATGAAAGAGATATATGAGTAAAATGAGTTCATGCAAAAATATTAATTTGATTTATTTACTCCGAAGTCCGAACAAAAATTCCCCTAAAATCCTAAATGTTCTTTCCTTGAAAAGTGTCCCCCTATTTTCTTCTTATTTTCTTTCCCTCCGAAATCATTGGAGTTATTGCACAAACGGAAGCTTACCAATAATTCCAGATAGTGTTGCATGAGGCTCCTTAAGACGAACATCATAAGCAGGCCTGAAATATACTTTCTCATCTCTCGCTATAAACAAATCCATATCTTTCTCTTTTTCTCTCCATATATCCTTTTGCTTCTCATAAGAAAATGCAGCTTTTGCACATACCCCTGGCATCAGGGCAGGAGATGGAGAATCATTTGTGTTATCAACCGGAATGGGTTGACCATTGTTTTTGTGTATACCGAACCGATACCGAAATCCGGATAATGAAATGAGCGAGGAGCAGTCCAACGATATTGACTCTGGAACGTCCCAATACCTGCCTTTGTGATCTATGAATCGCTCAGGCCATGCAGCTTCCAATGTAATATCATGTTCAGGCAGCTGCAGGGAAGTAAAGAGAAATTATTTGTGATGCCCTTTAATGGAGTGTAAAAAATAGGTGCAAGTATCAAGGCAGTAAATGTAATAATGATGTCATTTTACAAGTTGCACACATCAAACAAAAATGACAGCCATGACTAACTCATGCTTAGCATGAGTGATATGTTCTCAAATGAATATGTTTAAAGAGAGATATTTCCCCATTGAAGGGCTTTGGTGCTTGACTTCTAGGGATGTTGAAGGTGTTGCATTTGCCTAAGTAGTAAGATAATGGTGTTCACTTTAAGTGGTTGTCCTCCTTTGGATGTCATAATAATAATAATAACAATAATAATGATAGTAGTAATAATAATATGAGTAAATTCCATTTCCATAAATGATCCCTAATTATATGTTTTTTTCCATGATTAGTCTCCAATTCTAAGATATTACATAAATGATCCTCAATTGTTGAAAACCATTCCATAAATAATTCTTTAGCCCAAATATGACAAAATAGTTTTTCCACATATAGTTCCTGAAGAACCAATTATGGAATAGTTTTCAAAAATTGAGGACCATTTATGTAATATCTTAGAATTGGGGACTAAATGTGAAAAATCACATGTAATTAGGGACTATTTATAGAATTTACTATAATAATAATAAAGACAATCGTAATGTACAATTGCGCTTCTGTGAGGCCGTGGATCTCTTAGAAACGTACATTCTCCCCAAACCCTACTATTGTCGGATTTTTAGAGGTTTTTTTTGTTATTGTTGTTGTTGTTGTTTTACAAGTGTGTGTGTGTGTGTGCACACTTATATTATTATTATACATGCCCATATTTCCTTAGCTCTAAATTTTCTATTTTTGTATAATACGAAGTATGTGGTTATAATGCCCCATTTTCAGATCCCATGTTGCATAGGTGAAATGTGTGACCTTGGTAAAAGTTCAAATAAAGATTTTCCTCTATTCTTTATTTGGTATTCCAAAGTTTTTTACATTATTGTACCAACAATTATACTATTATATATCGTTACATAGAGTTGAAAGATACAGCATACGATTCTTGCCTTATGCGCGAAGATTGCCTTCATGCGTTGCCCCTCATTTTCACCTGACCTCTCCGTGCTTAATAATATGGAAGATGATTTGGTAAGGGCGAGTTGTGAGCACACACCGAGCGAATAAAATGATTTGTCTAAAAAACACTTGGGCAGATCTTTGAATGTTGACAGTTCCAAATCCTCCCACTCGATTGTGGGACCTATTTCTTCTTTGATGACATCTATTTCTGCTTTAAGTTTAGAAATCAGCTTTTTTGGTCGAATTTGTCCCACTAATCCAACCCACCTGGACAACACAAAGTGTTAACCATCATCAGGGATTATTATTTGGCATCAAATGAGCTAAAAAATAACAATAGAAAAATAACTCCCTGCACACCACTATACTCTTACATTTTGGTTTGTCCCAAATTTTTTGTGACATATCATATTTGATATGACTAATGTAGCTCAAATCAGTTTGCTGTTTCGGAATTCAAAATTGATGGATACTAGATCCGGGGCAGTCTTGGAAAAAGCAATGGAATAGATGAGAGTAAGATTGGCATTGATACATTTAGCATTAGTCCTTAGTCCTCACCTTCGAAGAGGGGGCATTCATATATTTCCTTTGTCTGTGCAACTAAAACCTAACCAACGTCACTGGGTGACATCTACTGAATGTTTGGTCCAGTTGGGTCAAGCCCACATGGGAGGCCCAGACGGCTTTCAGGTGAGCGAGGGGCTTTGTTCCTACCATTAAGGCCAAGCATGTGTTCCTAGCGGATGTGCCGAGCTTGGTGGCCAAGCATGCCCATTTCTTCAGATTCCTTCCTAGGCCGGTGATTCTCGCTCCTCCTTGGGCTGGGCCTCAAAGTCTTAATTTTGATAGGTTCCGTCATCCGGCCCAATATACCCATCAAATTAGAACCACACAATTTCACTTTTCTTTTCTTAATTTGAGTTTAACTTTCTAATGCCCCAAATTTAGTGGGGCAAAAGGAGTAAACTTATGTAACCCTAGAATTCTAACCATGACTGTGGCTGCAACAATGAACATAAAACAAGAAATATTTCCTGCAAAATTTAAGTTCTTCCTTAAACACTTAACTGAAAGCAATGCACTTAACCAATTGGCATTTATCATATAATGTTGACTGCTGAAAAAAGGACTAGACTCAATACCTAAGTATTTCAATTACCTAAAATTCTAGTTACCCAATTCCATAATTGGCAATCTTGAATTTTGAAATAAGAACAGAACTCCAAAATTTGGATGGGAGTTAAGAGAAAAAAAAGTACCATTTGGAAGTGGCAGCTCGGAGAAAGAGAGACTGGAGAGCAAAAGAGCCCAATTCCTTTTTAGACGGAGGAGAGAAAGACGGGACGAGACCAAGAGGGAACCCATTCCCGATGAGGGAGAGCTGCTGTATTCGGAGAGCTTGAGTGGCTCTACCGCCGTTCATCGGCATTGGCTCGCCGGGAATGGCCCGGGCAGTACCGTCTAGGGTTCGAGAAGTGGAGACGTTCAGATCCCAGAACGCCGCGTCGATCGCCGTCCGAAGTTTAGCCATTTCGCCGACGAGCCGGCCGGTGAGTGGATGAGTTCCTAGTGAAAATGTGAAATGAAACGGGCCTCAAAAAAGAATTTGAGAGAAGAAAAGAAGAAGAAAGGGGTTTTGGACAAGGGCGATGGTACATAAGGGTGAATTCCGAGTTTGTAAAATACCTGAAAGGCATTCCTTTTTTATATGTAATTCAAATATACATTTTCCTAAATAATGCAATCCGGATTTGGCTAATCCGTTTCTGATTTTATTATTTATTCAAACGGAGTAGGCTACTCCGTTTCATTGATTTAATTGCCAAACAAATTTGGCTAATCCGTCCAACCATTTTTTTTTGAATAGTTTTCTTGTTTGGCTACTGGCAGTACTGGGTTCCACCATATTCCATTAATTTGTTGCCTAAAACTATTCCATTTAGTTTTTTGCTAAGTTGCCTAATCCGTTTTTCTTTCTTTTTTTATAGTTTTCTTTATCATAATCACCTTCACTTATTTGTTCAAATATTTTTTACTTTAATTTTTTTTTTGTTCAAATAATTTTTGTCACTTATAAATAAATTATAAAACTTAAAAATAAAATACTTTTATTTATCATTAAAATGTTTTTGTTCATAATTTTTTTGATAATTTTATTTATCATTAAATAAATATACAATAATAAAATTTAAAAAAATGTAATGTCCCAAAACATGTTCGAGAAGTTATTCTATTTTACAAAGGAAAAATTACCCAAAATAATCCCAACTATACAGACTCTTAATGTACTACTTATTTTTTAAAAGAACAAGTCGTCCGGTAAAGTTGGAATTATTGTAGATAATTTTTTCTAAAATATAAGAAGTGATATGTTAATACTTTGTATAATGCGTAAAATATTAAAACCCACCCGTATATTTTTATTTTACTTTTACCAAATTTAAGTTAGTTT